ATGAGGAATCTGGACGGGTAGTGAGAAAAGGAGTGGAGGAGGTGGGAGGAGGAAGGGAGGGAGGGAAGGAGGGAGGGAGGAGGCAGGGAGGGAAGGGAGGAGGAGGGAAGGAGGAGGCAGGGGAGGCAGGGAGGCAGGGAGGGAGGCAGGGACAGGAGGCAGGGATGAGGCAGGGAGGCAGGGAGGCAGGGAGGGCAGGGAGGCAGGGAGGCAGGGAAGGAGGCAGGGAGCAGGGGCAGGGAGGCGGAGGAGGGAGGGAGGGAGGGAGGAGGGAGGGAGGGAGGGAGGGAGGGGGGAGGGAGGGAGGACGGAGGGAGGGCGGGAGGAGGGAGGGAGGAGGAGAGGAGGAGGAGGAGGAGGAGGAGGAGAGGGAGGAGGTGGTTGTGGTGGTGATGGTGGTGGAGGACCAGGAGGAGGAGTGAGGAGGAGGAGGAGGAGGAGGAGGTGGAGGAGGAGGAGGAGGAGAGGAGGACAAGGAGGAGGAGGAGGGGATGAGGAGGAGGAGGCTTAGTGGTCGACGACGCGAGAGGAGGAGGAGGAGGAGGAGGAGGAGGGGAGGAGAGAGGAGCGGGAGGAGGAGGAGGAGGAAGAACACGAGGAGATCAGGAAGAGCATCTGAAGGACGACGAGGAGGGGAGGAGGAAGGGTAGGAGGAGCACGAGGAGCACGATGGGAGGAGGAGGAAGAGAGGAGGAGGAGGAGGAGGAGAGGAGGAAGAGGGTCGAGGCAGAAGTGGAGGGCGGTGGAGAGACGGGAGAGTGGTGATGCGAAAAGGGGGGAGTGGAGGGAGGGGGGGGGGAGGAGGGGGTCTTTGAGAGGTCTAGGCCCCTCGCTCCTCCCGCGCCCGCCCAGGAGCGGCTTCTGACGGTCCAGGGCGAGTCGGCCCAGGTCAGCATGGCCGTTCGTTGCGTGCCCGGGGGGGGGCCCGGGGATCGGGCAGGCCAGCGAGCGGCAGAATCGAGGAGGACATCGGACACCACGAGGAGGAGGGGCTGCGAGGAGGAGGAGGAGGAGGAGGAGGAGGCGGAAGGGAGGAGGAGGAGGAGGAGGAGGAGGAGGAGGAGGAGGAGGAGGTGGAGGAGGAGGAGGTGGAGGAGGAGGAGGAGGAGGAGGAGGATGGAGGCGGGAGGCGGGAGGCGGGAGGCGGGAGGCGGGAGGCGGGAGGGACACCACTTCAGGAGAACAGCATCCTTCTCCTCGCTCGCGTTCCCTCCAACCGTGCTCGGGTTCATCTTGGGCTCTATTCGGGCTGAGTCCTTCATCCGGGGTAACGTTAGGGGGGATATGCTCAGTGTCGGGAATGCATCGATCCCCAATCGCCCATTGATCGCTGATAGGGATCTGATAGCCCACCGCCGCCGAGGACCGTGCGGCTTCGCTATCGGGGGCCTATCGCCGATCTGTGGGCGATGTATCGTCGACTCCAGGTCGATATCCCCCCCCATGAGCCCAGTCCCACAACCCCCTATCGTTGCCCTCACTCCATCGCTCCCGCGAGGATCTCCCTGGAGCTGCCTCCCCAGACCCCAGTCGTCGTATGACGTCATGATGTTTCGCCACGCCGACCCCCACGGGTCTCGACCCGTTCACCAGGACGGGCTTTTCATCCCGAGTAGTTCTTTGACGGTCCCGGGTGCCCGGCGAGGGCCCTCGCAGGCCTACAGTAGCAACACGAAACAAAACGCCCGCCGTGAGTTTTGCACGACGCGAGCACGTCTGGGTCTTCGGGCCATGACTCGGCGCTCCGGCGGCCGCTCGGAAGGCCTTCGGCCGTCGGAGAGCACTCCGGGGCCAGAAAGCCGCCGAGAACCAGCGAAAAAAACGCCCGACGGACCCGATCTTCGATCCTCGATCGCCGTGATTTCTGCATGGCGCGAGCGCGTCTGGGTCTTCGGGCCATGATTCGGCTCTCCGGCGGCCGTTCGGGACGCCCTCGGCGAGGCGCAGCTGCCTGAGAGCGGGACTCCGCTGTGGGAACCCCGCCGTGGAGGACACCCGCTCACTCCCAGCGGCGGCGGGTGCTCCAGAAGCCCGCGTCACCCCAACATAGCGTCGCCCCCCCAGGGGCGACGCGTGCACCGAGCACCGAGAAATCTTCTAGCATGCGTCGTGGCGGGCGCTTTCTTGCCACACCGCTCCGAAAACGATCTACGACTACAATATGGGTATACTATACGTTCGTGTCAGACGCGTGCCCCCGAGGAGGGCACATCGTATTCGTACGCCTCTGTGCGTCCCACGACTTCCCACTAGCGGTAACGCCCGGGCCCTCTCTCCTCCTCCTTGTCATCGTTCTTCTCCTCCACCTCCGCCATCTCGTCCCTCTCCCATCCTCCTCCTCCTCCTCCTCCTCCTCCTCCTCCTCCTCCTCCTCCTCCCCTCCTCCTCTCTCCTCCTCCTCCTCCTCCTCCTCCTCCTCCTCCTCCTCCTCCAACTAGCGGCAACGCCCCAGAAGCGACCTTTGCTCGCCGTGGCTGCCCCGCGACACGCGCAGGTCCGGGCCCCGCGGCGGCGCCTCCCCGCCGCTTGCCGGGCTGCGCCCGCATGAGCGGGCCAGAAGCAGCCCCGCCGGGCCCGGCGGCGGCCGCGCCCGCGGCGGCGCCGCCGGCCACGTCCAGGAATCGGGAGGAGGAGGAGGGAGGAGGAGGAGGAGGAGGAGGAGGAGAGGAGGAGGAGGAGGAGGAGGAGGAGGAGGAGGAGGAGGAGGGAGGAGAGGAGGAGGAGAGGGAAGGAGGGAGGGAGGGAGGGAGGAGGGAGGGAGGGAGGGGAGGGAGGGAGGAGGAGGAGGAGGAGAGGAGGAGGAGGAGGAGGAGGAGGAGGAGGAGTAATCGGGAGCAGCACGGGGGCCACGGCCAAGAAGAGGGGAAAGGAGCAATGGCATGAGAGTCAAAACTCGGAGGTCCGCGCGGACTTCTCGGATCCGCGCTGGGACCGCCCCTGGCGGCGCCTCCGGCGCCGCCCCTGGCGCGCTCCGCGCGCCAGCGCCGATCCGAGAAATCCGCGCGGACCTCTGAGTTTTGACGTGTATGTCATTGCTCGTTCCCCTAAAGATGTCGCGACATCTTGTCGATGCTGATCTTCGATCATGTGGTCCATTCCAGGCGTCGCCCACGCGCGAGGATGATCCACGAGTGGACGCTGACCGAGATCGACGGTGACCAGGGTCGGCAAGACGTTCCCGCGTTCAGTCTTTGTCATGGTTCGGGCGAGCAGACCTATGCACATACACAGATCCTGGCCAGGCCCGTCCTGGGGCCCAGGATCGGTGTTTGTGCCTCCCTGGCCAAGCCACGAAGGCGCATGCACCGATCCTGGGCTCAGGATGGGCCTGGCTCAGTATGTGCACAGTTCTCTTTCTTCCCCGTCGCCCACTCGCGAGGATGATCCACGAGTTGACGCTGACCAGGATCGACGGTGACGAAGATCGGCACGACGTTTCCGCGTTCAGTCTTGGGATGGAGGTGCTTCTGTTCTGCCCCCATCCTACTGCTCCTCCTTCTCGCTCCTCGCTCCTCGCTCCTCCTCCTGGCTCCTCCTCCTCCTCCTCCTCCTCCTCCTCCTCCTGCTCTTCCTTGGTCCCCGTCTTCTTCCCCTCCGAGGAAGAGGAAGCAGTCGGCGGAACGCACGGCGGCCTCGGGGCCGGCCGCGAGCGCCCGGCTGCACGAGGCGGGGGTGCCCAGGGTGGAGGAGGAGGAGGTGCCGCAGCACGGAGGAGGAGGAGGAGGAGGAGGAGGAGGAGGAGGAGGAGGAGGCGGAGGAGGAGGAGGAGGTGGAAGAAGAGGAGGAGGAGGAGGAGGAGGAGGAGGAGGAGGGAGGAGGAGGGAGGAGGAGGGGGATGAGGAGGAGGAGGAGAAGGAGGAGGAGGAGGAGGAGCAGTGTAAACCCAAGAGTCATCAACGCTGTTGGTATAAACCCTCCCTGCAAGCATCCTCTACATAGGCCCCTACAACGGCTCATCTCCATTGAGGGAACTGCCTCGTTGGAAGATAACCGTTTGAATACCCTGAAGCACGTCAAAACATTGGTCTCGGGATTCCAACGCTACGGATCAACCTGACTGTTGCGTCTTGACGACTCTGGATCGTGACAGAACGCCATTCCTGGGGCTTCAACACAGCGAATCAACGTAATTGTTGCGCCCGCAAATTCCTGAATCCTTTGGAAATACCATTTCTGGTCCGTTGATGATGGGGATCCTTGAAACCTTTCCAAATGTTGTAAACGAATGTGCGCGGCGCCGAGGCGAGAGCCACATTTTGAAAAGGAACCGCCCTCAATCCGTGAAATTCTTGCAACTTTTGCCGTACGAAAATCCGATCTGCGCCGCGCTAAGGCGAGAGCCACATTTTGAAAACGGGCCGCCCTCAATCCGTGAAGCTCTTGCAAATGTTTAAAACGAATGTGTGCCGCACTATGGTGGGAGCCACATTTTGAAAACCACCCGCCCTCAATCCGAGAAGCTCCTGTAAATGTTAAAAACGAATGGGCGCCGTGCTAAGGCGAGAGCCACATTTTGAAAACGGCCCGCCCTCCATCTGTGAAGCTTGTGCCAACTTTTAAGCTTCATAAGTGGTGAGGAAGTCTCGGGCGAAACGCCTGGCCCGCCCTAAACACTTGCCTCGGGGCGCGACAGGGAGAAGTTACTTATAAGGACAATTCATGGAGGAGGAGGAGGAGGAGGAGGAGGAGGAGGAGGAGCGAGCGAGTCCCGCGAGGATTGTGTGCACCGCGCTGCCGAGCAGCAGGAGGGAGGAAGGAGGCACCCTGAGCTGCGACTTCGTGAACAGACTGCGAGATTGCGAGAATTCGCGATGCAGCCACCTCTCTGGGCCAGCTCTCGAGCCAGGTAGAACCGTGAGGGCCCTGGGGCCCGAGTCTGGGCGCAACCGCCCGGTGTGCAACACTGGCGACGCCAGGGTGTCGAATGAGAGCGGCGAGGAGGAGGGAGAAGGGAGCAGGGAAGAGGAAGGAATGGGAGCGAGGAGGAGGAGGAGGACGACGACGAGGAGGACGAGGAGGAGGAGGAGGAGGAGGAGGAGGAGGAGGAGGAGAAGGAGGAGGGGGAGGAGGAGGAGGAGGGAGCAGGGAGCAGGGAAGAGGAAGGAATGGGAGCGAGGAAGACGAGGAGGAGAAGGAGGAGGAGGAGGCTTCGCGAGCCTCCTCGTGCTGCCCCCTCCTGCCCTGCCCTGCCGCGCTCGAGGCGTGCGCCTTCATCCTGGGGCGGGGCCTGCGGCCTGGGGACATCCTGTACGCCTTCCCGCCGTCCAGCGGCGACGCCCAGGTTCTCGGCTGCACGCCAGCCGGGCCTCCGTGGCCTTCGGGCGTGCACCTTCCGCTCCGCAGGGTGCTCCTGCCGCGGGGTGCGCTCCGGCAGCTGCGCCCGGCCGAGGGCGTGCGGGGGGTGCCCGCGTCGTCCCGAGTGGCCACCGGAGACCCGAGTGCCGAGAGCTCCTGCGCCGGAGTGACCCTTGGTGCGCGGCTTCCGCCGGGGCGCGGGCTGTCCCAGAGCACGCAGGCCGCTGCTGCCGCATCGCAGGCAGCGAGCGGCAAGCCGCGCGCCAGAGGTCAGTCGCTCTTGCCAGACGCCCGACGTCATGTTTTGTTCGTGGCGTGGCCCACCACAAGGTTTGGGCCCCTTCCGAGTCCTGTTTTGACGGCCCCAGGGCCCGGGAAAGGGCCCCGAGGGCCCGACAGCGCTCAAGGACCTTCCGTCGTGAATCTCTCGTGGCCCGAGGGGGTTCCGGGGCTTGCGTGGATCCGGAGAGGTTGCCGAGCTCAGCCTGCCCACCATCCCTGGGCTCCCCGGCGGGCAGGCCAGGGGCAACGTCAGGGGCGGGGTAGGCTCAGGGAGGACGCGTTCTCCCATGGCCCATTGATCGCCGATAGGGGCTCGATACGGTGGGGGCGTTCGTTAAGGAATGTGCCCAGGAGGCTTCCGACCCTGGAGGATTCCTTACCAGACGAGGGCGGCTGTGATATCCATGGTCCAGCCTCAGTTGGTGTTCCAGCAGCTTTCCGACCCTGGATTCCTTCTCCAAGGGTTCCTTCTCCAACACCCTGGCCGTAGCCCACCTCTTCCAGGACCGCGCGGTTTCGCTATCGCCTGCCCATCGCCGATCTATGAGCGATGTATCGTTGATCCGAGGTCGATGTTTCGCCCCCCCTGAGCGAGTCCTCCGGGAGGAGGAGGAGGAGGAGGAGGAGGAGGAGGAGGAGGAGGAGGAGGAGGAGGAGGAGAAGAACGAGGAGGACGAGGAGGACGTGGAGGACGAGGAGGACGAGGAGGACGAGGAGGACGAGGAGGACGAGGAGGACGAGGAGGAGAGGAGGAGGAGGAGGAGGAGGAAGGAGGAGGAGGAGGAGGAGGAGGAGGAGAGGAGGGCGGAGGAGGAGGAGGAGGGAGGAGGAGGAGGAGAGGAGGAGGAGAGGAGGAGGAGGAGGAGGAGGAGGAGGAGGGAGGAGGAGGAGGAGGAGGAGGAGGAGAGAGGAGGAGGAGAGGAGGAGGAGGAGGAGGAGGAGTGAGGAGGAGGAGGAGGAGGAGGAGGAGGAGGAGGAGGAGAGGAGGAGGAGGAGGAGGAGGAGGAGGAGGAGGAGGAGGAGAGGAGGAGGAGAGGAGGAGGGAGGAGGAGGAGGAGGAGGAGGAGGAGGAGGTAGGAGGAGGAGGAGGAGGAGGAGGAGAGGAGGAGAGGAGGAGGAGGAGGGGAGGAGGAGGAGGGAGGAGGAGGAGGAGGAGGAGAGCAGCAGCATGAGGAGGAGGAAAGAGGGGAGGAGACGGCACGGAGGAGGGGAAGGAGGAGGAGGAGGAGGAGGAGGAGGAGGGAGGAGGAGGGAGGAGGAGGAGGAGAGGAGGAGGAGGAGGAGGAGGGAGGACGAGGAGGAGGAGGAGAGGAGCAGGAGCAGGAGGAGGAGCAGGAGCAGGAGGAGGAGGAGAGGAGGAGGAGGAGGAGGAGGAGGAGGAGGAGGAGGAGGAGGAGGAGGAGGAGGAGGAGGAGGAGGGAGGAGGAGGAGGAGGAGGAGGAGGAGGAGGATGAGGAGGGAGGACGAGGAGCAGGAGGAGGAGGAGAAGGAGGAGGGAGGGAGGAGGAGGAGGAGGAGAAGGAGGAGGAAAGAGGGTGGAGGACGAGCACGAGGGAGGAAGGAGGAAGAGGAGGAGGTGGAGGAGGAGCAGGAGGACCAGTGTACACCCAAGATTCATCAAAGATGTTGGAACACATCCTTCCTGCAAGCTCCCTCTTCATAGGCCCTGCAAGGGTTTATCTCCACTGCGGGAACTGCCTCGTTGGCAGACGACCGTTTGAAGACCCTGGAACATGCCAAAACACCATTCTCGGGACCCCACCGCCACGAATCAGCATGACTATTGCGCCTTGACGATTCCGAGTCGTGCCATAGCACCTTTCCTGGGACGCCAACACCGCGAATCAGTTGCGCCTTCACAATCTTGAGTCTTTCCAGAGCACAATTTCTGGCACGTTGACCGTGGGAATCCGCGACAACTCTTGCAATTGTGTAAGACGAGCGAGCACGGCGCTGAGGCGAGAGCCACCTTTTGAAAAGGAGCCGCCCTCAACCCGTAAAACTCTTACGAGGTCAGAGAACGAAGGTGCGCGGCGCTAAGGCGAGAAACACAGTTTGAACATTACCCGCCTTCCATCCGTGAAGCTCTTGCAAATTTGTAGGACGAGTGTGCGCGGCGCGAAGGCGAGAGCCACGTGCCTCTTGCAAGTTGTCGAAACGAGTGTGCGCGGCGCTAAGGCGAGAGCCACATTGTGAGAACGACCCGCCCTCAATCCGCGAAGCTCTTGCAAACGTTTCAAACGAATGTGCGTGGCGCAAAGGCGAACCACATTGTGAAAACCACCTGCCCTCAATCCGTGGAACCCGTGCAAATATTTGAAACAAATGTGCGCGGCGCTGAGGCGAGAGCCACATTTGACGACCACCCGCCCTCCATCTGTGAAGCCGTTACCAATTTTTAACCTTCAGTGTCGTAGATGGTGAGGAAGTGTCAGGCGAAACGCACGGCCCGCACTTTCGACCGGCCTCGGGGTGCATGGAGGAGGAGGAAGAGGAAGAGGAAGAGGAGGAGGAAAAGGAACATGAGCATGAGAATGAATATGAGACGAAGTCTAAAAGTACCGCCCTGCCACCCCCTGATCAGGCCGACGTAGAAGACGACACTGAACTGCGACCCGAATTGTCACTCCTGCGCTCCCACAAACCAGAGCAGGCGACGTGAGCATGACCTCTAATTTGAGAAAAAAAACACTGCCCTGGAACAACCACGCCCCTACGCCACCACCGCGATGCCGACAAACACGAAGATCAAGAAAGATGCACCAGTTCCTCACATGCCCCTTCACCATTATTGCACAGCACTCCAACGAAGTAAAATGCTCAGGTCCCTCGGAATACTCTTCACCATTATTGCACACAACTCCAGACACCCCCATATACGTCTTCCTTGCGCGGGCCAGGCTCAGCCAATACTGAAACTAACAAAACCGAATACGTCTGCCTTGTGCTGGCAAGACTCAGCCAAAACACCCGAGGGATGCCGAACGAGGAGTAGACGAACTTCGCGACACACACCGTGATGGGAAAGCGGAAAAGAGAGCAGAAGGCACCATGCAAGCTACAAGATACAAACATAACCACCATATGCATTGTGAAGCCCCGCGAACCGGGGAAGATGAATACAAAGGACATCCACGAACGCCATAAAATGCAGCAGGAGGATTGAATCTGACTCTGCCACAACATTCGCCCCGCCCTTAGCCGATCCGCGCCGCAAGAAAATCTCCAGAGGTGCGAATAGCCACAAGCACGGCGCGCTGAGGCGGCGGGGCAGGGCCCATGACGCGTTTGAGCCTAAAGATGGATCTACGCGCCTTGGGCCCCTTGTGCTTGAGGAGGGGGAAAAGGAAGAGGAGGAGTGATAGGAGAAGGGAGAAGGAGGAGCAGCAGGAGGAGGAGGAGGAGGAGGAGGAAGAGGAGGCGGAGGAGGGGGAGGAGGAGGAGGAGGAGGGGGAGGCGGAGGGAGGAGAGGACCGGTATCTGCCACAATAGGCACCGCGTTGCCGCATCAGCGCAAGAGCATAAACGCGTGGAGGGGATGCGGGCACAAGCAAGGGACCGCTCTCCGGCCCCCTTTGACATGCCAACCTCCGGGAGCGCCGCACACGCGCGCCTTAGGAGGGAAACCATGAAAGGGGGCAACAACCCAACACCCCCAGACACAACGGAGCGGTTGCCCAGCGCCCGACCCCCGTATGCACGTCTCACATCACTGCTCCTCCAGCGCGAGCCCCAAGCCCAGGCAGGCAGCGGGCATGAGCCATGGGGGTGCTGGACAGCGCGTCAGCGCGGCGCCTCGGCATCGGCCGCGTCAGGATACGAACCCAGCTCTTCGGCAAGGGACCCGACCACCAGGGCTCACTGGTTACGAGGACCCAGGAGGGGTTGGAAGGGGGGGAGCGCGGGGCCACTCTCTGGCCAAGGGTGCGCACAACGCCCACCCCTGAGCTTTTCAACCCAGGGGCCGTGCCGTCTTCCCTTTCTGAAGATCCGAAGGGGAGGGGCCTCCTAGCTCACGCCAGAACAGCGATCGCCCCTAGGAGGGGGAGGGGGGGGGAGGGGACATGCCTCAGCACAAATGGGATCATCGGCAAGTACACCTCCATTCAGGAGGCGGCCACCCGGCGGCCCAGGCTGCACCGCTTGGCGCGGTCAGAGAATTTCAAAAATACTATGGCCTGACGGCGGAGGAAGGAGGAGGAGTAGGAGGAGATGAAGAGGAGGAGGAAGAGAAGGAGGAGGAGTATGATAATTGAGAGGAGGAGGAGGAAGGAGGAGGAGGAGAGGAGGACGAGGGGAGGAGAGGACGAGGAGCGGAGGAGGGAGTAGGAGAGGAGGAGGGAGGAGGAGGAGGAGAGAAGGAGGCGGAATGGAGAGGAATGGGGAGGGGGAGGATGAGGAGGAGGAGGAGGAGGAGAAGGAA